ATGTATGTCTGTGCACTCCACGCATCCAGTGCTTATGGAGGCCAGAAGAGAGCGTCAGATTCTCCTGAAACTGCAGTTATGGATGGTTATGAGCTGCCATGTGGGGGCTGGTTACTAAATCTTGGTCCTCTGCAAGAGTAGCCAGTGCTCTTAACTGCTAGCTTCATATCAAGATAAATTTAACCCTAAGAACAATCGCCTTTTAAATCCAACCCCAGCACAAAGTAAACACTCAAATTTTTCATGTTTGGATTGAATTACTGAGGCTTTCAGGTATTACAAATGGAAACACCTTCAGGGGGATTTCGCCAAATGGGGCAAGTGATTCTTACAGTTCCTTCACAAGCAGGAAATGAGGCTACTTAGATGTGGTCCATACCATTTGTGGAGCGTGGGAAACAGCAAAGCAACCATCACCATTTCTCTAGGAGAATTATACATGAGGTGATTCTATTGGTTAATTTACAGTTTTCCCAAGAGGACAGTCCAGTAATTCTAGGATTCGTTAATCTCTCCTTTGGGGCATGTATGTATCCCACACACCTGCGCAGAAAAAAGACCGGGCCAGGCACAATGTATTCAATGGGCTTGATGGGGATTTATTGAATTAAGTCCCTGGAAAAGTAACCCACTGGTGGTCTGGAAATAGGGAATCTTACTCTGCTGGCTCTAGCAAACAGCTGCAGTGTCCTATACTCTGCTCCAAGAGGTAGCTTTGTTCATATTTCTAGGACTGATTACAATCTCATGGTCATCAAAGGTGTATGACTAAGTACTCCCATGAGATGTCAGTGCCTTTGCTGTAAGCCCATTTTGAGTATAATATTCAGGGATTATTAACTCTGATTCTAAGGAGCTTTTAGTCTATAATTTGGACATCTTGGTAAAGGTGTTTGCTATAGGATGCAGCAGAAGACCAAGAGAAAGTGTGGCTATCAGTTGTGCATGTTAGTAAGGTCTTTTGTAGGTATCTTTTAAAATGTAATAAAATATGTATGAAATTCACCATCTTAATTTTAAATAGATGTCCAATAATGTCACATTGTTGTGCGGCTGTCACCACTGTTCATCTGTGGGATTCCTTTCACCCTGCAACACCTCCCCCAAATTCCTGAGATCTAGGGCTATTAAATAAAAATTGGGTTATAAATATGGTGATATACACATGAAGATGTTATTGCTAAAATATCTTCCAGGATGAGATGAGACATAAGCAATGTCTATCCCTCCTCCAAAGGTCCCAGTAACAAAATGAGATATGATGCAATCAAAGGGGAACCAATGAGCTTATTGAGCTTCCTTACAGAACATAGGTGAGCGATTACCTATAGGGCTAGGGTTGCTGCCCCACCCCCAACAGTCTGTTCCTAGAAAGCATTACCCAGAAGAGATGAGCGTTTCTTCATAGCCTCATAAACAGAGCCCCTTCCTCTAGTCTCCCCCAGTGCACATATTCTATCCTCTCCTCTAGATGATGTGCAGTTAAGGCAGAGTTGTATGCAACAGAAGGTAAGGATATCGGATGCTCTGGTGAGTGGCCTGTCACCCTCCTCACCTTCCACAAAATGGAGTAAACAGTCAACAAGATCATCTGGGATAACCCTTTAGCAAGGGGGTGCAGCAGAGTTTACTCAGTCACAACAGAAGTTCATGTTATCACACATGTGTTGACTTTAGAATTAACATATGTACATTTCTTCTTCTGTTAGAAATTCATCTTCTTAAAGCAATCTTCAGAAGTTATTGCATTAGTTACCACAGTTTTAAGTGTCTTCCACATGTTTAAACTTTCGCACTGTTTTTCAGTTTGCTTTTTAAGGATGCTGATTTTGACCACTTTGTGTTTTTCTCAACATGACACTTTATAGTTAATATGTGTACATTTCTATACAAATGCATTTGTGACGTTTATAATCCGCATTCTATCCCCCATCCTTCATGCCATATATATATAAGATGTCTTATAACTCAGCGAGCAGAAGCTTGCCATGTGGATCAGGCTGGCCTTGAACGCATGATCCTCCTGCCTTGACCTTTAGAAAGCCTGATTACAGGCTTGTCACCAAAGTTTGTCTCAAACTTTCTCTACTTTCAAAAGAAATAGCCAATGTTTAGGACAGAAATTATACTTACCCATATATTTGCCAAATGTTACGGCTTTCCAGGTGCTCGTTATTTCACTTGGGTTGAACTGATTTATTCAGGAATCAAGCAATCTGACTTGATTCTCCATTTTTATGTCAAGCATATCATCATCGTACGTGTGCTCTTTAACATTCAATCTCAAGATATGGTTGACGAAGCCAAGAGATGGTGGATTAAAATTCCCGCAAAGGGAATGAAAGATGGCTCAGTAGTTACGAACACTGGCTGCTCTTGCAGAGGATCTGGGTTTGATTTCCAGCTCCCAATCATCTGTAACCTCGGTTGCTGGGATCTGACACCCTTTCTGGCCTCTGTGGACACTGCTTGTACTTGGTATAGGATGCTCATGCAGAGTAGGGAGATTATACACATAAAGCAAAATCCACACATTGTTTTAAATTAAAGCCAATGAAATCAGCCTATAAGAGGGACACAGGGAAAAGAGAGCTCATCAAGAAAATGACCAGAACCTGTCAGAGAGGTAGAAAGCACAGCGGGACAAGAAGCCCTAGGTGAGATTTCGTCACCAGTGGGGCTAGGTGGGTCATCTGTGCTCCTGTGGTTACCGCAATGTGACACAGAGCACGAACTGGATTGCGTGCCGACAGGTTTCTGGTGACTTGGGGCAGCGAAGTAGGAAACAGAACTAGAATTCAATTTTCTTTTCAATTACTAAAGGGGCAAACAGAATTATGCAAATCCTTACTCAAACTGTAGAAAAGCAAGCTAAATCCATCTCCCCCATGAACGAGAGTTTTAATTATCTTCCTAATGCTGAGATCTGTGGGACCCAAATTGATTTGAGAGGGATGCTCCAGTTGGTCTTTATTTTTGGGAGAACGTCTGAGTCTTAGTTTGCAATATGATTTTTTTGTTTCAAAATTAATTTTTCCTTTTCTAAAATCAGTGCCATTTTGAGAAATTAAGAGAGTTGTAATTTTTATTTTACAGGTGCTCTTTGACAACCAAAGCAAAGAAAGCAAAGGTAGGAGTCCTTAATGTACTGTTTTCCCGTTTCTCAGAGCTGTTGGATGGAGAGCTGTAGTCGCTGTAGCTCAAGTATGCTGGAAACTGCTGGTAAAAAGCGGATGGTCATGGAAGGACGCTAAATCGGGATGCACCCCACATCCTGAACACTTGGGTCAGTTTGCTTTGTCTTCCTCTAGTACATGAGCTGTTGTGAGGTGTGTTAATCCCTACTTGGTAATGTCATTTCACACAGCAAGGGAGTGCTTTGTATAGCCAGTCATTATCCTGTAATAGGCACTATAGATTAAGAATTGTGCTGAAACATTTGTACAAACAGAAAAAAAAAAAAAAGGCCTCTGGAGAATAAGGCACGTAGGAGGGTGGGAGTGGTCATTGGTGCGGCTTTTGCACCGGAAATGCTCTGTGTAAATCCAAATGTTCCGTCTTAAGTTACTGAATTTCTTGTATTAATGACATGGTAAAGGACTGGCTGTCACCCCCCTGTGTCACTGCTTCTCCCCACCTTCCAGCACCTCTTGTTCTGCTCTTGGTTTGGGCAGTTCTTACAGATGCAGAGCTCCGAAATCCTGTCTCTCAGTCTTTATCTTAAGGTTTATTTATGTTCTCATGTGAAAAACTAGCAGTCATGAAGCCACTGTGCAGAATCCCCATTCTTCAAGATTATAGTTTCTAGATGGAGTGGGAACGGAAACTCGTCTGAGATTTTATCATGAAAGTGGGATTGTGAGATAAGTGTGCCGAATAATCCTATAAAATAGCTGTCTACTTAGTAAACACAGTTATTTTTACTTTCATATACTCATTTTTCTGTCATCTGCTGGCAACCAGTTTTAGCTCCACATCAGAACACTTAAGACCTCAGCTTCAGTTCTCACCATCTGAGCCCCGCCCAGCGACTTTACATTTCATCTGCCCACAGCCAATCTCGGCTTGACTTTATTATGTGGGAAATTCCAGAGCTAAATGTCTTGTGTTTTGAGCAATATACAGTTCTGAGTTATAAGATGACTTTCTGGGTGTCACTACTCTCTGGCTAAGATGTCCTTAGTATCCACACTCTATATACTACCCTCCTGTTAGTCACTCAGCAGCTCTCTCGGCTGCCAGCTTGATTTCCAAGGTATTGTAGCACTTGTATTCACATAATCATAATTTTCCCGAAAAATGACCAAACATCAAGACTAGTAACATTAGCAATTTTACATAACATACTGTCATAATTGTTGTATTGTTTTATTATCCATTACTATTAATCTTTCACTGTGTCTTAGCATTGTTATGGACATACAGGGAGACACAACTTATAGAACATTGGATATTATCCATGATTTCAAACAATTATTGGTCTTAAATCATCTCCTTCCCCCAAATAGAAGGGCAGCTCTAGTAAGCATCTTCTGCTCTTCCAGCTCCTGGGAAATCTCAGTGCTCAGCTGTCAGGCAACGTAATTGGCTGGAACCTTACCAGGCAGGGTCCTCAGGGGTATGCTAGATTCAGCAGCTGCCCTGTTAAAGCCCCCACGTGGCATCTGTTCCTTCCAGTCTGTGATATGCCTTTCCACCAAGTGTACATTCTCCTGTTTGTGCTCATTTTCAACCATGTTTCACCATCAGCAGCTTATCAGCTAAGAGAAAAACAGACAAAAAAAAAAAAAGCTCTCTTTTAAAACGGAGTGATGTCCCCAAAGCAAGTTGTATCAACAGAGAGCTCTCTGCTCCATCTTTCTTGGTGACATTCTAACCTGCATTCAAGGATGCTTCACTCCTGAAGTGTCTGGATGGGCAGCCTGGAGGCTTTTAAACACTATTTTGGAACTTTAATAATGAAAATAAGACAGATAGTTTTCTTTCTATCTTACGCACAGGCAACTTGTTGCTGCTGAAGACGATTTCTCGTCACGCAAAGGCTGTGGCTGGGAAAGTGAAAAGCAACTCACAAGGGACTAGAAACCGCAGTCGCTGTCCCTAAGCAGTAAGGCATCACGTGGGGGGGCCTGCCCTGCAGGCACCGCCATGGAGTGACAGTCCTGGGTGAGATGTGGGATCCCTCTGCATTTTTAGGTAGCACATATGGGGATCTGTCTGGTAAAATCGAAATGCTTTAGCTGCTTAACCATGAAGCCATTTAGTATTTCATTTGGGAGGAGAAAAGATGAATAAGCCAGCAAGCCAACAAACAAATACTGGGGGTAAGGAAATGTTGGCAAGCGATGTCTGTGCACAAGTTTTGTGCACGTTAACTCAAACAAGAATTTCGGAATCCGAGCTCAAATTTCCAAATATATGAAGTTCCAAACTGGTTTTTTAAAAATTAGTTTTCCTCATTCTTTACACCTATCTTTATGATACATTGCTAACTTAATCTTCATGGTCATTCCCTCTTGCTGTTTCTAAAATGTGAAGTCAGCTCTTTTCCTTCTAGTCCGGCTCTTCCTTCCTTGTTTCCAGATGGCCGTGTTTAGAATCTTCTCCGTTCTCATCTTACCTGAAATGTGATGTTGCTGTCGATTAGCGAGACTCAAAACATCCAGATGTGAGGAGGGCCATGACATAGGAGGATATGATTGTGACTCGGGCCTACTGTCTGTCCGTAGAGAGTGACACCTTGGTGATTCTTTCGTATATTTCAAGACAGCCCATGTTTCCTCTGGTCTCATTCTCTGACTCGGGTGGAAGTGGAACCAAATGCGAGTGTGATCTCAAGAAGAAAGCACAGGTAAGGGAGGGGTCTGTAAGCCAATCTGTACCGCTTCCCTTGATAGGGCGCGAGATGACGCCACTAAACGTCATCCTCAGGAACAGAAAGACCTCAGCCTTGTGATGGAACCAAGCTGCGCTGTAGTGACTGTGTATCAATGGCTTCAACTTATACCTATCATACAGTGGTCTCGCTGTCAGAGAAAAGCTAGCGACGAATGGTCCAATTAATATGGACAAAAGCATGTCCTAAGGGATGTACTTTACTTCTGTTCCACTAGATTTGGGACAAGCCCCTGAGCCCAAGCGTCTCCCTATCTCTTTGCCCTCCAACCTGTAACTGTGACTCCACCATATACCTTTAGTGATTGTTGAGCATCTATTGCGTCCCTGGTCCTATTCAGTGCATCAACAACCTAAAGGTAAATGAGGTAAAGCCATCCTTCCCTCAAACTTACCTACCGTCAATCTTCCCCAGAGATTTTGTCAGTGAAACCAGACATTTACAGTAGCACTGTGGCTTTTTTACTGAAATTTATCGTAGTGAGATTTTACTGAAATTTATTGTAGTGAGATTTTAAACTTCGGATTTTTCTTGTGACTTTGCAGAGAGAGACTATCGCGGTTCTGTGGCAGTGTATCCAAACAGGCCACAGCAAAGACAAGGTTGTGCCTGGAGGAGTCTTGCTGTATCCGGTTAGAAAGAGTGTAAATCTGTCCTGAAATTTGAGTACCACAAGAGGCATCAGAGCTCACTGGGTCAAGTTAAAATATGACTTTCTCCATGTTTGAGTTGTCCCAGGTTGTTCTGAGTGCTCAGCTGTTGCCCTGTGAAGCTTCCAACTTAAAGGAACCCTTGCTATCCGCTGTAGTCCAGTCCTTCTGAACAGAATTCCTCAAGCCTCCTGGGAGTCCCCGGAGCAGGGAGAGGAAACAGAAGGGAGATGTTCAGCAAAGATGAAATGTACACTGTTCCTTAAGATCTCAAGTGACTTCTGCACTTCTGCTTCACATCTTTGTCCCTTACTCTTCAAACAGAATGGCTGCCTCCTTCCCAGAAAGTCCAAATGCTATGGATTTTAAAACACCTCATCTGCCAGCTCTGGCTGGGGCGGACTCCTCAACTGAGTTCTCTTGCCGCAATCTCTTGTTCTCCTTCAGAGTACTTGTCAGAAGTTGAAATTGTATCTCCCTTCCCCTACATTTCTGCTATGCCTTTCTTCCCTGTTCCTCTTCCCTTCCCTCCCTCCCTCCGTTCCTCCCTTTCTTTGCACCAGACTAGAATGTCTGTATATTTGCTATTTATCCCTTAAGCCCATCAGACAGCTGCTACACAGTGGGGCCTCAAAAACATTTGCTGCTTTTTTTCATATTAATACATTGTTTGACCTCAAGAAAAGTGTGTTCAAAAAAGAAAGAAAGGAAGGAAGGAAGGAAGGAAGGAAGCAAGAAAAGTGTGTTCAACAGGGTCATCTGTATTAATAAACTAATAGAGTCAATGCTATAATACTTCAGGTTGTATATTATAAAGAGAGCCATGTTTCCTTTAAGAGAATTCACATACCGTGTGATCCACCCATTTACACTATGCAAGTGTAAATACCCAACCCGCAGAATCATACAAGCAGCGCCATAATCAACTTAAGAAGGTTTTCATACTACAGAGAGAAACTTCTGACGTTAGCATCAATCTTCATACCCATCCTCTGGCCCATGGTATCTCTTCCGATTTGCCTGTTCTGAATGTTTTGTATAAATGGAATCACCCTGTGCAGGATGTGTCTGGATTTTTCTTTCTAGATAATAGTTTGTTTACCATAGTGAGCTGTTTTTTCAGCCTATGGATACTTGGATTGTTCCCCCTTTTGACTATTGCAAATAATGACCACTTGTTGGTTTTTTTTTTGTGATGGGGGAGACTTTTTTTAAAAAAATTTCTTGTGTGTATTATAAAAAATTGGTCTTCCGAGTCTGTGTTCAACTTTTCAATGAAGAACCAAACCACTTTCCAAAGTGGTCCATTTGAGAACCTCGAGTTGGCGTGTGGGGGCTTCTTTTCTACATGTTCACCAGTAAAAAAAACTTACTATGTTTTTATTACTACCATTTCAGTGCAGATGAAATAATAAGTTCTTATGTACATTTTTCTGATGACTAATGACATAAAACTTTTTTCCCCACATGTCTTTGGACCACTATATATCTTCTTAAAACATCTGCCCAGATTCTTTTTCAGGACAGTCGGGGTTATGTAGAGAGACCCTAACTCAGAAATAAATAATACACAAATAAATAAAAACAAAGGGCATTTTAAGTTTGGTTATCTTTTTAAAATATTGAGTAGTATAGCGGTGTTAAATATTCTTGCATATAATTCTCTCGGGATTTGTGACTTATAAACAAATGTTGCCTCCTGGCCTTCGGGCTGTACTTTCTAGGTGACAACCTTCTGAAGTACAAATTTATTATTTTTTAACAAATTTCAATTTATCTTTTTATTTTTATTGCCTCTAATTATGTCTTGTTGTTATTCGTTTATTTTTGAGTGAGAGTATGATCTATCCTTTATGAAACTAAAGGACAAAGGAGGATTTAGCAGAAAATTAAGAATAGAGAGCTTAATTGAACTGAGCAATGAAGTACGCAAAGATTAAAAGAAGTAAAAGGAACTCGGCAAACAAGAATCTCCCAAATGTCTTAAGTAGGATTTTTAGTATGTTTAATCTGTTAATGTAGCTTATAAAAAGCAAAGCACTGAAAATGCACTATATAGCCAAGGATGGCCAGCCTCACGCTTTTGGTCCTCCTGCCACTCCCCAAGTTTCAGGATTATTGATATTTGCCACTATATCCTGTTTGATGTGGTACTGGGTTTCAGACTTGGGGATTCATGCATGCTAGCTTAGCACTCCACTAATGAAGCTGGAGCTCTAGCTCCTGGGATTATGTCTGAGAAGGCTTTGGCTTTCTTCTTAGAGTGCTGTGGCTTCAACACTCCCATTCTGACCTGTGGTTCTCTTCCATTTGGATTGCTGCTATTGGAAATACCTTCCTTTCCCCATTAAGTTGGTCATTGCACTCATATACGTATATATTTAAGTATAAAGTGAAATCTAGATGATCCCACTTAGAAGATATAAAATATTTGTCTTTCTTTTCTTTCATTACCCCTTCTTTCTCTGCTTCCTTTATACCTCTTCCTCCCCCAGGGTTTCCATGGTGTATGTGTGTGTGTGTTCTCTATTTGATAGACATATGCAATACTTATTTTTATGAGCTTGTCACTTTCCACTTAATGACAATCTTCAAATTCATCCAATTCTGTGGGAAAAAAAGGCATAGTTTCATTCTTCATGACTGAAGAAAGCTTAGTTGGGGCTTTTCTCGATCCCTTCACCTGCTCATGGGCATCTCAGTGGTTCCTCTCTTGGCTGCTGTGGATAGTGACCTAGAAGACATGGGTGTGCAAGCATCTATGGTATGCATACTGAAAATCCTTACGACATATACCCAGGAGTGGAGCAGCTGGTGTGTGGTTGGTGCAGGCTGGAGGGAAGCAGGGTTACAAGTGGAAAAAGGAGGCAAGAGGTAGGAACAGGGGGTGGGTAAACATGCAAAGTACAATGATTTGTTTGAGTGTACCAGTGTGTGAAAATGAAACCCATCCTCTCATGCACTGTGTATTAAAAGTGGAACATTTTAATTCCACTCTTGGAAAAAACTGATAACCTGGTTAAAACAGAGCCATCCTGCTTCCCTCGGATGCCTTCACGCTCATAGGCTGCATTCTCTTTCTCAACCACACACGCTGTGTGCACTTTGTTGCCTGCTCTTGGTCTGTCTGGAGAGTCTTTATTTCCTTTGTCTTCCAAACTCCTTCTTATCCTTGAGCCTGACCCAGTGAAATCTGCTATGTCTGATCCTTGAGGCTTTCTCATCAACATATCGTGTAATCTTTTGAACCGTTTGTTTTTCTCACAAGATAACTCCTCCACTTTTTCAATTTTTCTTCATTGTACTTTTCTGCTGTTTATTAGCGTATGGATAATACTATGGATATGGCTGGGCAGTGGTGGCGCACACCTTTAATTCCAGCACTTAGGAGGCAGAGGCAGGTGGATCTCTGAGTTCGAGGCGAGCCCGGTCTACAGAGCTAGTTCCGGGACAGCCAGGGCTACACAAAGAAACTGGTCTCAAAAAACTTAATAAATAAATAAATAATATGGATATGAATCTGTGGTACTGAATTAGTGGCAATGTTCTGGGTTTAGAATTGCAAAGACTCTAAGCAATCTATGGAGACTCAAAAGAAATCAAGCACTTATTAAAGAAGAAATTTAATCTGAATGAGAACTGAAGCCCATGCAAAATACTATTATATTTTAATTTTTCTGATAAATGTCCTGTGGCTTTACCATTGCTTTAGCACTCCTAAGGACAGAGCCAGGGAAATGCTTCCGGCTGGGGCAATGCTGTCGGGTAAATGCACTCACCTAGTGTAACTGGAGATTGCATTAGTAAAAACACCTTTAAAGCCCATCTTCTTAAAGGCCATCCCTCACTTAGTCCTCGTAGTATATTTAATGGATAGATACTGTGGGGTGTTTACCTTGCAAACCCACAGTCAGTTTGAATGGATAGATTTTACAGTCTATTTATAAAGAAAACTGTTTTTGAAAGTGTTTATAAAGTCAACATGGTATGCAATCGTCTAAAATTAAAGCCTGAAAATTATTCAAACTGATGACAGAAAAGAACGAAATGTAAAAGCATTGTTTCAAAGGCCATTTTCAACAACAGTGAAGTGTAAAATTGTCTGTCTTTTCTGGAATAAGAGAGAAAATGGGGAAATTCTAACATCTAGGGCAACAAAAGGTCTGCTTGCTCTGCACTGTTCTTGCCTTTCCTTTCCAGAAGGCTTTAGTGTCAATACCCAGCATTCACCCTGCTGGAGAGTGTTCTAACTGTGATTAACAGTATCTATTAATCTATTGTGATTAACAGTGCAACATTGTATCTATTTAGATAAAGTATTTCTAATAAAATATACAAAGAGAGTGAGTCTTGCCATTGTCTGATAGTCTGAAGAATTCAAATATTTCAAGTCAGAAATGCTGTCAGGAAATAGGTGAAGCCACAGACACAGAGTTGTGGGATCAGCACACGGGAGAGCTTCTTCTGACAAACCACCATTAAGGGTTAGAAGTTTGCAAGGGAATTTTGATAAGACTAGCTGGGCCTGGAGGGGTGTGCTTCATAAGAAATGTAAAATTCATCCCAGTTATTAAAAAAAAAAAAGAACCACATTCTTCTCCTATTTAATCCCCAAGTGCCTTGAACTTTGGGGTTAGTGGTGCTGGTGGATGCCACCTTCTCAGTTGGAAGCTGGGCTGAGATTCATGTCAGAGAACGGATGCTGTTTGTGTGGGTTGAGGATAGGTTGAGCTTGGGGTGGTTTGTGTCTCCATTACTCTCTACTTACGAAAGGAATTTAAAATGTATGGTTGAAATAGTCCAGCGCTTAGCACAGGTGGATGACGGTAGCCATCTGTCACTGAACCCCCTTTCAGGGGAAGGATCTTCAGCACAGGGTTGCAGGAGTTAGGCATCTCCTATGGGACCTGCGGGGGGGGGGGGGGCTGGAAATGACAAAACCGTCTGTTACTGTAAGTGAATTTGGAGGTAGGAGATAGAGCCTGGTGACTTTGGGGCAGCCCTGCCCTTGGCCTCTTAGCTGTGAGTCTATTGGGATGCTCAGAGCAGACTCGTGTCCCTTTTGCTCTTTGAAGGAAAAGTGGCGAGGCGCCCGCCCTTCTCTGCTCCTGCACCGTTTATCTCGCCATTAACATCCTCCATGACCGCAGTAAAAAGGAGGCACGAGATTGTCCCAGAAGATCCTCAATAAATCACCGGACAGTGAATGACCTAACAGCCGTGTGTTGGAAGCATAATCCCACCATGCAAACACTAGTATTGATTTTTCGCTAACCTTGCATTAAGCACTTAGCGACAGACAGTGATAGATTAGCCGTGCCCTCGGTGTGTACACTCAATGCTAGAGTCACTGTGGAGGATTCGGAGATTCCGAGCTAGACATGCCCTACATGCTGGAGACCGGTGCACGAAAAGGAGGGAAATCATGTCCCATAAGGCTCAGGGGGTTGAGCTGTAAAAGCACAGGCTGTGGCTGTGGAGATGAGCGTGTTTAATGTAACAGGACGAAATCCCAGTGAAGCTTCCTCACTTGGGAAGGTATCTGCTGTTCTGGTGCAGATAGGTGAATACAGATGATTATGTCTCATTACTAGGAGGCCAGGGGAAGCATGTGGGAAGGAGAAAGTTAGAGCCTCTCTCACTGTGCAGAGTACATGTCTTCCCTTGATGTGTAGTCCCAAGTACAGACTCTGGGGCCAGACTCCTTTGCACACCAGTGGTGTGACCCACGTAAAAAAAAACTCGATAACCTGGACGTGCTCATCTTCCTGTCTGATGAATAAGGGCAGTCACAACACCTCTCGGAATTGTCATAAGGATGAAGTAAGTCCCATGTGTAAAGTCCTTAAAGCAGTCTCTGATGTATAGTAGAGGATACTAAATGTCCCCCACAATATCTATTCCCATGCACAGTTCTGGGTAGTGGACATATGACAGTGACCAAAACCTGACGCTTCATAAAGCCTGCTTGCTAGCCTGGGGAAAGGTGACGGAATAAGGAAACAACCTCTGAGTTAATGTGACAGCGGGTCCTGGTTTGCTTTCCATTGCTGTGATGAGCACCATGATCAGTGAGCGAAGTCAGGGCCGGAACTCATCCGGAACAGATACAGGAACCGTAGAGGAATGCTGATACTGG